TATCTCCAGCCAAGATGGGGTCATAGAGGGGAGGTGAAGACAAATAGCAGGCTTATGTGGTACTCCCTGAGACTAGATCTGTGAAAACATTGTCTTCATTCCTATTTCAATTGATTGCATTCATAAGAGATAAAAATGGAAAGAATGTGAAATACAACCTTATTTAGAGAGACAATAAGTTGTTTAACTCTTTAGCCATTGAGCAATTTGTACATCCATAGTAGGAGTGTATAAACAGCTCCAATAACTCATCTGACATAGATATTGCTCAATATTTTCTTCAGCATCAATGTTTTCTTCCTTTTGATCAAGTGTCTACACTGACAAGTCTTGTTCCCTGTCAGGCTCTTTGACTTTCATAATTTTTCTTGGCTGAAAGTAAAATATTTTCAAAGGAACACACATTCGACCTATAAAAATAACAAAGTTATAACCCATTTGACAATATGAAGTGGCAACTGTTACTTAAGACAAAATTAAAGGAGAAATTCAATGAAAAGCTCTGGAAAAAAGGTTTTCATTATAGATGAAGACGCGTGTAAAGTTAATCTTTATAAATGGTACAACTAGAGGACACACATGTCTTCAGGCTAAAGAACATCCTATTATTAAATGTATATTCCCAAGTATTTTTTTTTTCAAAAATCTAGTTTGACACTATTCCCCAGTCTCATCATTACACTAGGTCAGTTATACAAGTACAGGTTAATTATAACCCGAGGTTACTAACCAAGGAGGAATCAATGCTGGATTACAGTATTCTTATTCTGACTTCAAACATGTTAGACTTTTTCCTTTCTTCTTTCTTTCCTTCATTATTTTTTCCCTTCCCTGATCCTTCTTTCTCCCCTCCTCTTTCTTTTTTGGATAGCATACATCAATAATAAAAGTTATTTCAACAATTAGATTTTTCTGAAGTATAAATTGGAGTTTGAAGTAATAGCTTTTCTCCATACAACATTTATTTTACTTCATTATTTTACAACACCCTAAAGTATTTAAAGCTAACAAATTAAACCAAAAAATTTTCAGTTAATAAAGTTCTTTTAATGATGGAAAAGTACACTTGGCTAACTTTTAGATTCTCTAAAATTTAGCAGGATTTGGGTTCTACCATTTGATAGGTGATAGCTTTCTTGATTCTAGGCAACATGAAAGTGCATTGGTCATAAAGTAGTTTACTATGAACAAACTTCAATAAAAATTCAACTAATTTACAGATAGGCCTGAGAAGAAATTATTTTGAATTAATTAAAACTGGATTATCTGTAACCTAATGGTTATGGAAGCTGGATCCCACATGACCAACTGTAATTTGAATCCCAGGCCCAGTGACTTGAGAAACATGCCAGGTACATACCTGCTTAATGGGATGGAAAAATGGAGAAGGGGCTGTAGCAAGACCAACCCCATTGGGGTTTCTTTCTCTCTCTCCCTCTCTCTCTGTCTCTCTGTATCCTTCTGGTCAGTGTACATGCCCTCTGGCAATGAAAATAAATGCTGGAATATGGTAATGTCTTTGTCTTGATTGACATGCACTATATTCCTGTTGGGAAAAACCATGTTGTACAGTATAAAGATGTATAGTGATTAAATTAGAGGAAATAAAAGAAAAATTTTTAAAAAGCTGGATCATCTGATTTATTTTCCCTAAGCAATAAAAGATACATACAGTAGAGTTACAATACTTGCTTTAAATAATCACAACCAAGGAAAATATTGGGACTTAATACATGCTAAGTACTCAGATATTTGTTAAATTAATAAATAAAAATGAACACATTGCTAAAAAAAATACATTATAAATTAAAATTCCCCTTTTAGTAAGAAACCATGATTAGAAGATTTGCTACTTAAAACAAATAAGTATTCGGACCACCAGATGGCACAATGGTAATGTTGCTGGACTCCAAAATGGCTGACTGTGGTTTGAGTCCCAGATCCGGGGAGCTTAAAATATCCAAAATCCTGAGAGGAGAATGGAAGAGAAAGGACTGCAGCATGACCATCCCCCCAGGGGGCGATTAAACTCTTCTTCTTTTTTTTTTTTTTTAATAGATTTTTGGTATAGGGCATGTGCACTTGCCAGACAGAGAGACAGAAAATGAGAAATCACTTCTCCCCCCTCCAGGGGGATGGCCACACCACAATCCCATTTTGTTCATTCTCCTCTCAGGATTTTGGGCATGCATGCACATGCACCTGTTGTGTTTTAAGCCACCGAGTCCAGGACTCGAACCACAGTCAACTATGTGGGAGTCCAGCAACATAACTATTATGCCATTTGCTGGTCCCGTGATTTATCACTTTCTGTCTCTCTGTCTCTCTGGTGAGTGCAAACACCCTAAGGCAAAAACCTCTAAAATTTTTTAAATAAATAAATAAAACAAATATTAGAGACTTATTTTTAACATAACAGTGGACAAATCAATGAGATGATTTCTTATCAAGTTTATGTAAGAACTACATATTTGACCTGTGGGTGCTTTCTTTTTAAATTATTATATCATTTATACTTATTATGAAAGTATCAGCTTTTTATAAAGTAAAATACCAAATGCTTTTCTCTGACAATTAAAACATGTGTCATCATAGATGGGACCAGTAGTTAGCATAATGGCTATGTCACTGGACTCCCATGTAGTCGACCGTGGTTCGCGTCCCGGACCCGGGGGCTTAAACTCATGCCGGGCACATGTGTGTGTGTGCCCAAGATCCCAAGAGGAGAATGGAGGAGAAGGGATTGCGGTGTGGCCATCCCCCTTGGGGGGTGATTTCTCACTTTCTGTCTCTCTGTCTCTGTCTTTCTGGTGAGCGCATGCACCCTATAGCAAAACCCTCTAAAAAAAAAATGTGTCATCATAGTTAAACACATTCTCTTGATTCTACATAGTACCCAATAAGCTTTTAGGATGACAAATGCACACTATTTTCTCCAGAGTGGAGTGAGTTGCATAGCACCATTAATTCCTCTAACTAGAATCACAATTGCTAGAGGGAAGTCTGTCTGCATGGAAGTTCGAAGCTTCATCTAGGATGACATGTAACCTCATTTCATTGCCCATGTCAGTAAAATAGCTTAGATGAGAAACAAGCTGATTTTAGGGATATGTTTCGTTTTGTACCATGATGAAGAGTGAAGGGGAAAGAGAAGAAACTCTAGAAGTAACATGGACTGGGCTTTCAATATGAGCCAGTCTGCCAGGAGCTTTACCTTTATGACCTCATCTAATAGTTCCAGCTCTGTGAAATGCCCTTTCTTTATGAAACAAGACTTTGAGACTTTCTAGTTTAAGAGATTCACCACCCAGAGCCACTAGAAGAACTGAGATGAAAACCCAAGTTTACTTGGCTCCGAAGCCTTCATCTGTCTATTATATTGCATCACTAATAAATTCCATTTAACATCCTATGTATTTGGTATTAGATCCCACTAGTATGTAAGCTCTTCAAAGCAGGTAACTTGTTATTTTATCCCTGTATTCCTAGCACCTGGTATGGTGTCTAATATACAATATCTCAAAACATTTGAAGGTTTAAGTGAATAAATAAGGGAAAAAAAAAAAACCAGACTGTCAGAGGTGGAAAGATTGTAATTCAGCCACCTCAGTTTTAGACAGGGAAACCAATGCCTAAAGAAATAAAGTCACTTGCCCTAGATTAAGCAAATAATTAGTGAAAAATAGAGAACTCGAATTCATGTCTCTTCTGTGTTCTCTACAACATACTACTAGGTTGTACAAACATGTTTTAAAGCATATTCATCAACTCCACATGGATTTCTATCCATTCTACCTTCTTGATTTTGAAAGTTTCTTTCTTTCATCAATTAGCAAAAGAGAGAGACAGACTTACAACAGGGTACATGCTGTGATCTTCCCCCTAGCTCTCAACCCGAACAATGAGCAAACTGTTAACTAATGTACTCAGAAAGGACTGTGGACCTTCCCATTTGGAATTACCTTACAGAGTATCGCATTTTATACCTGTGTTACTGTCTGGCCCCATCTATCCTCTTGATTTGCTTAATTACAAACTATTCCTCACATGTGCGAATCAATGGCAATTAGGAACATCATTAGCCTACAAGAATGATAACTCCATGAGGACAGGGAATTTTATCTGTTTTGTTCACTTCAATGTGCCAGGACTGAGAAGGTGCTGGAAGTAAATCCTTGCTGTGTAAATAAATATATGTGAAGGCCTTCAAAATTTCCATGAAAAAATGGAATTAAATGATAACTTTATTTTGGTTCAAAATGTTCAAGATCCATGCATGTAATATGCATTTTCCACAAACTTTTTGAAGATTCTGCATATTCTATCCTTTTTAGTGATAAGCATATTCCTCACAGATACTAATGGTTAGTACAGATGATAATAAGAAATACTCAAATGATCAAATATTTCAGTGAAACTGCTCATTAA